GTGGTTTGCCTGGACAGAATATGCCAGCATCTCCAGACTCTGGTCGTTTAGGGAATCAAATGTCAGGAAATGCTCTGCAGGCTTCTCTTGCAGATGCTATGTATCTCCAGTATCTAAGATCTGCTGAGTATGCTGCACATGTTGCTGCTTTGAATGAACAGTCTCCCGATAAGTATTATATGGAGTTACTTCAAAAGGCATATATGGGTTCTGTGATATCGCCTCAGAAGTCACAATATGGGGCTCCTTTGGGGAACAAAACTGGTGGTTCTAATCATGGTTATTATGGGAATCATGCATATGGGGTTGGCATGGGTTACCCTGGAAGTCCATTGACAAGTCCAGTTATTCCGAACTCGCCTGCTGGCCCCGGTAGTCCTATCAGGCACAATGATTTTAACATGCGATATCCTTCTACGATGAGAAACATAGGGGGTGGTGCCATGGGAGCTTGGCACGTGGATGGTGCCTTTGGATCCTCACTGTTGGAGGAGTTTAAGAGCAATAAGACAAAGTGTTTTGAGCTTTCAGAAATTGATGGTCATGTTGTAGAATTCAGGTATATCTAAGTGTATGTTATGCTATCCTTTGTGTGCAACTTGCCAGTTAGATTTCTAACTATTGTGTTGTGCAAACAGTGCCGATCAGTATGGAAGTCGTTTCATCCAGCAAAAACTTGAAACTGCTTCTACGGAAGAGAAAAATATGGTGTTTGAAGAAATTATTCCTCAAGCACTTTCTTTAATGACTGATGTGTTTGGGAATTATGTGATTCAGAAGGTAAAATCTTTTTTTATTTATTTATTTATCTTTCCCACTTATGTAGTATCTCAAAAGTAACAATTCCCAGTTAGGTACTGATTTGCACAGCTGTATTTGTCTATGATAGAATTGATTTATTACTAATATCTTTATCCACTCTACTCTTTGTTTACTGTACAACATCTGTTTGTATTTGCAGTTCTTTGAGCATGGAATGGATACTCAAAGAAGAGAACTTGCCATCAAGCTTGATGGTCATGTGTTGAACCTTAGCTTGCAAATGTATGGCTGTCGTGTTATCCAGAAGGTATTTTTATTCGCATGTCATCTTAATTGCTTTTGTTTTGTATTGAGGTGCCTTGTTTTTCAAATTGGGAGTATATTTTCTGCAGGCTTACTGTTTTGAAGATGTATTGAAGTTCTTAAGTATTATTTCACACCTACTTTTTGTTATATTATTTGTAATGATTGTTTTAAAACCTAAAGTGCTGCTACCAAGCTTGTGCTATATTTCTTTCACGTCAATTGGTTTGAGTGTTATGATAAAGAATTCATATTTGTGTTATTGTTCCTTCTTGTTTCTTCATTTTGTTTATGTATTACTTGGGTAATGATTACTTTTCTATTGTAATTGTTTTGCTCTTAATATATGTGTTTGCTGCCTTGTTTATGGTGTTCATTGGCTTTTCAAATTAAGCCACCAATGCAGTTACCAATCTCTTTATCAAGTGTTATATATTTGAATACAAACAGGCTGGCTAACTGAAAAGCTCTGAATTTACAAATGGGATGGAGATGTTTTATTTTACAACAATATTAGTTTCCCAAGAATATGAAACATTGTTTATAGGCTGCTTTCTTGTTAATTGCTGCATTTTGATCTGGAAGCTTATTATTTACTTATCATTCAATTTTAATATATTTCCTTGTAAAAGTAAAATTATATTGACTGTTGCCTTTACTGTGATCTATTTGTTTGATTTCATATAGTCTATTGAAGACATATTAGATTTGGTGATTTTCTTAAGACGTGTTTTACTTATTTTGGTTGGCAGGCCATTGAAGTAGTTGATCTGGATCAGAAGATTAAAATGGTTCAAGAACTTGATGGTCATATTATGCGATGTGTGCGTGATCAAAATGGGAACCATGTAATCCAGAAATGCATTGAATGTGTCCCTGAAGACCATATTCAGTTTATAGTTGAATCGTTCTTTGATCAAGTTGTTACTCTTTCAACTCATCCTTATGGGTGCCGTGTGATTCAGGTTACTAGCTCAATGCTCAAGTTGCCAAAGTTATTGCATTTATGTTACTTGGTAAAAAGAAGCACGTTGTTTAATTGGTGTATTTTGTGCTTATAGAGAGTTCTGGAGCACTGCAAAGACCCACACACTCAGAGCAAAGTTATGGATGAGATTCTGGGTTCAGTTAGCATGTTGGCTCAAGATCAGTATGGAAATTATGTGGTTCAGGTTTGTTATCTTTATCTGGAATTTGTGTTGGGTTTGAAATTACACTGTATTTGAGTGTTTGGCTATTATTGGATCTTTAATTAATAAGTCAAGTTAATAATAGAAGAAATATTTTTGAATCACATTAGTACTATCACAGCTTTTTATACAAGTCTGAAAAGTTGGGAATGCCTGCTTTTATGGCAATCTTCTGACGAATTACAATTTTTAATCCATCTACCGTCGGTCAAATCAATAGAAGTATAGACATTTGGAAACAAAAGGCTTTAATCTTAAGCACTTGTACATGAGTATTTAAATTAAGGCTTTAATTTCTTTCTGGGGATCACAGGATGTATAGTGACTTTTTTAGGTTCCCTGGGCTGCTACAAACATTCACATTTCCTCATATGAACTTGATGTCAACTTTTCCTTCATTATATATTCATGTGTATAACCTGTCACCAAGCAGAAAAAGTCATTCCCAAATTATTCAGTTCAATCTATATAGAAAGTAGATTCACTATAGATTTTCAATAGAAGTGTTTTTATATCACTAGTGCAGAGGATGTGGAATGGGGAGGGATGGTGGAGGAGAAAAAAGGGATAAGGTGGTGATGTATTGTCTGCTTGGTGTCTTCCTAGTTATGTTTCTTATCATGTTTGCTTATTTTTTTTCATTTTAATACTTTGATGCTAGTAGATTTTAATATCTGATGACTTGTGATGCATAGTCACCTTTTATGAATGTTTCACACTTCTGTTGAGCAGCATGTGCTGGAGCATGGGAAGCCACATGAAAGGACAGCTATAATCAAGGAGTTAGCCGGTAACATTGTGCAGATGAGCCAGCAAAAGTTTGCTTCCAATGTTGTCGAAAAATGTCTGAGTTTTGGCAATGCTGAAGAACGAGAGATTCTGGTAAATGAGATGCTTGGAACTACTGACGAAAATGAGCCTCTCCAGGTAAATGAGATGCTTGAAATCAGCTTGGATCTAGTTTCCATGTTTTGCTTAATGCCTTCTTTCAAATTCTTTGAGCACTAACTTTATGATTTCTAGGATTTTCCTTCCATCTTTTTTCTTATATGAAAGAAAAATATATATTTGTAGTGAAACTTTATTAACTGATTGGTGGATTTTTTTTTCCCTCTGCTAAGATTGCATGTGTCCTATCTGCATCAAGTGTTTAGTGATCAGGGTATTTATTGTCCTGTAACTTCTGTTGAGTACTTATCTACTGTGGGCTCTCTAAAATCTGAAGTCACAAGGGGTTGGAACTTAGCCTTGTTAAAATATGCTCAAGTGGGGTTGAGCTCCAATGCTCATGTTTGCACCTGCTTGTTGACTTCAAATTTTTATCTATATGGAAAATATGCAATTAGGTAGTATATTGCCTTACTCACATAGTTGATTACTTCCTTCATTGATGCGTATTAAAAATAGTTTCAGCTGAAAAGCTGAAGAAATTATTTTATGTACTTCATATGTCAAAACTGTCGTATGCTGTTTGATCCCCAGTATTTTTTTTAATGAATTCATTTTTTGTTTTTACATGATATAACTTTCACTGCAATCATGCCTAAAAGTTTATTGATCACCCTCTTTCTTATTTTGTGCAGGCAATGATGAAAGACCAATTCGCTAATTATGTTGTTCAGAAGGTGTTGGAAACCTGCAGTGATCAGAAGAGGGAGCATATTCTATCACGAATTAAGGTTCATTTGAATGCATTGAAGAAATACACATATGGGAAGCATATTGTTGCACGTGTAGAAAAACTTGTTGCTGCAGGAGGTACACTCTATGATCTTTCTCATGTCTGCTGAATTTGTTGTACTTTTATAGTTTTATGGGGTTGAGAACTTTGGATAGTGCAATTAGTCTACTGATGTTGTCATTTTATTTTCTGTCATGTTTTAACTCTTTAGAGTTGTGATCGATTAGATTTGTTAAGTGCTTTGACTTGCTTAGATGTCAAAATTTACGCAGGTTGATGTTTGCCTTTTTTTTTTACTTAATGTATCTGATTTTCTGTGCTAATGTTGCAAATTGCTTTTCTTTCCTATGCAGAAAGGAGAATTGCCGGGCAGTCTCCACAGCCAGTGTAGGTGGGATAGTGAACCAGTGTTTGTACAGCTGACTGAAGCTACTGTGCTTCATCTTTTTTCAGTTATCTTTTTTCTTTCGCTTAAGATTTAGTCATTGCTCCGCCACTCCTTCGAAGGCTTGGTTAGGGAGCCCAGGAATAAAGGTTGTTGCTTTTGTACTTGGGAAATTGTACATTTTGTAGTTTTAAGGCTATACATAGAATCGAGCAAGCTGCACTGCAGATGTGATATATGCTTTTGCTCCTGCAGAGATAAAAGTGAGCATACAGGGGTGTAAAAAAAATCATTGAATGGTGAAGGGTAGGTTTTTTTCTAGTGATCGTGACTGTACAAATGTGGCCATGTCGAGAGCTGTTGATGTTCTAGGAAGCTCAGAAATTTTCCTTGTATGGTATCGATGTTCTTTCTATTTCCCAGAAGAAAAAAAAAAAAAGAAAGTACAATCTTGTTCAGCTAATGCTTCTCGCCTTACTCCCCTAACCCCATTTTTTTCGCATCCAGTAATCATTTTTCATTTTTACATCAGCATTTGCCATATAATTTGAAATTGAAAGAGCATCTACCTACTTATATAGTGTTATCCTCATTTGTTTGAGAGGATAGTAGGGAAATTTCCCTTCATATAAAGTAAGAAATACAGCAATTTATTACAAAAGAAGTTATACAAAATCAATTGAACGTCGTCCATGATGGGCAATTTCAGCTGTTTCTTGTTCATAAGCAACCTAAAATAAATTTGAACATCATTTCCCGAGTAGCTATGTCACAAGCAACTTCTTGGAAAACCTGTGACCCAACAAAAACAGTGTGTCTTGTAGACTAGTAGAATCATAACATACCAACCATCAATTTGCAAAATATCAAGAACTCGATAACGGGATTAATTTCTATTGATTCAATCATCAACTGATGTAATACAATTAGACAAAAATGAAACAAAATTTATAGCTAATCGTCTTCAAAATCATCATCAATTTTCTTCTGACCAAAACCTTTAGGACCAGCTCGAGCTTTCACTTTACCCTTCTTCCCAACTTTCTTACTCCTTTTAGCTTCCTCTTCTTTCTCAAACCTCTCTCTTTCTCTTTTTGTCAGAAATTCTGTCACTGCAATATATATAACCTGCTCCCAAATCATTCATTCAACATAAAATCAAAATCAAAATTTGGGTTTTGAATTGAAGAAAGTAGTAAAAATTAGACAAGAAATGAAGAAGTTACTTACCCCAATGGTGAGGATTGAGAGGGCAACAAAAGCAATGAACAAAAGAATTGAAATAATAATGGAAACACCATCATCCCCAGAAGTTGTAGCAGAGACTATTTCCTGGGTTGTTTCTGATGGAATTACTGCAGCATCTTCAGAAGAAACAGCTGATAATGCTTTTAAATTTCTGGGTTTTTGAGTGGAATAATGGAGGTGTTTATGTTTGGATAAGGTGAGAGATGAAATGAGTGGTTGAGATTTGTAGTTGAAGATGGAAGTTGAAACAATGTTGTTTTTGTGATTATTATGATGATGATGATGATGAAGAATTGGTGATGAGAAAGGAAAGAGGGATGATGCTGTAGATGTTGCCATGATTCATTTGATAGTTTTTTTTGGCTCATCAATTAAAGCATTTTCTTTGAACAATAATGATTTAGGAAATTAAGAGTACCTCATTTTTCTTATTTTTTTTTTTTATTTTTATGTCTAAATTATTTTGGACAAAATGTATTTTGAAGAAAGGCTTGGGCTTTTATTCATTTCTATTAATGTCATAGGGCTTCTTGTAACAGTGTTACTTATTCTTTTTTTAAAAAAAAAGGTTGGTAAAGGAAATGGACCTTTTATTTTGATTCCTTAAATTGTTGGGCCTTGAGTTTGTACATTTTTACTTCAAACACTTCAGGTTTTTAACACTCTGGTCCTATCTATCTGGGTGGCTCAGACACTTCTGTGTTGCTGGCTCACACGTGCGAAAACTCGACTATTTACATCTTCTTTTTTTTCATGGAAAAAAGTCAAAAAACGTCACTCTTTATTTTAAGATCAAAATTGCGGCCTTCCTTTGCTGAATTACGAAGCACCATCCATCACGGTTAGATTCATTTTTTAGGTTTCTCTCTCCTTATCCAACGGTCAATATTATCTCACTCTCCACTATGACAGCTGTACACAAAAGCTCTCTCTCCTCATTGGTCTGTCATTTAGCAAAAGTCACGCCATTATGGTCAGTGTTGCTCCACTTACCATTGAATTCCCTAAAATACCCTTTTCTATTAAATTGAAGCAAAGCTTAAAAAGTGCACCCAATTTCCACGCTGTCGCTGCCTTATTCGCTAGCCGGTAAGTGATTCTTACTTTTTGTCATTATGGATAATCATATGTCAGCTTCAACCCAGGGTTATTCAGTTTTTTTTTCCAACATTTTTTGAAAAAAAAAACCCAAAAAATATGTTTTTAATAATTTTATAAAATTGAGTACTTTATAATGAAAAAAAAATCTAAGCAAAGCTTAATTAAATGCTTATTTCGAAAATATTAACCTAAAGCGAAAATAGAATAATATGAGTGTGTGACTATGTGAGGAAAAAAATACAAAGTATAAGAGTAAAAAGAATATCAACTACGTTGTATTTCGTATTAAATAATTGTAGCTATAACCCTATTGTGGCAATTGGGTATAAAAAAAGTTTGCTACAATAGTTACCTACCATAATAAACTACTCAAGCTTACAAAATAACTTAACTGGTTTGTAATAATGGTTTTTGTACTCTTCGCCAAAAAAATAAAATAATGGTTTTTATAATTCACAAACATGGAGCATATATTGTTTAAGTAGAACACAAAAAATAAAAACCTAGTGTTGTATAACTTGAAAGTTTAAAAAAACCATGGCAATCATGAAAAATGAATACTCTGTACAAAAAATGTAGTTTCATCTTAGTTAAACTTATTCTATTTATTTCGTACTCTGTACTTCGTATTTTAAAAAAATAATTTTGGATAAAATGAATTTGAAAAAAATCACAAAAAATTACAAAAAAATAAGAGCCTAATAAATTACTATAATTTTTTCGTGATTTTTTTTTTGGCAACTTCGAAAAATAAGAGCCTAATAAATTATCAAAAAAAATTTGCCTTTTTTTTATACTATTTTTTTTGTTTATCAACTGGTGAAATATAATTTCGATTTTTTTTTCTTTTAAAAAAAATATTTATTCTACACCGTAATAGATATTTTCATTTTCCAAGAGTGGATTATTGGGAGGGATATAAGATTATAAGGGCAGAGTGAATCAAAAATATCTTAGCAGAACCGTCCACATAAGCAGCTGATTATTAAGTACCGTAGATATTTATTTATTACGTGCACTTTTTGCCCCTCTTCTCCTTCCTTTCTCACTTGTTTATTTCTTCTTTCATCCAAACACCCCTTTACTTTCTCTCTCTACAAATTATTAAAAATTAATCAATCATCCTTTTTTCCTATTTTTATTTTTATTTTTATTTAATTTTTTTCAATTTTTTTTTTTTAATCATGGGAGAAGTTAACGGCGACTACGACGGCAGACTGTACATCGCCGGCGAAGAAGAAGAAGACGACGAAAAAGTTCACGAGTGGGAATTAGGTTTACCTAACTTTGCCGACATAGCGCCGTTAACTCAAGGCTTAATTCCAATCGAACTTTTATCGGCGTTCAACATCAAGCCGGAACCCTACCGGACCTCCGGCGAAGTCACCCAAGCTTCCGAGGACACTCTCTCCATCCTCTGCGGCGCCAATTACAAGGATTTCTGCGAGGAAAACAACGACGATGAGTCAGGGACGAAGAAGCAACGGAGGACTGATTCGCCGGAAGATGCTGATTCTGCGGCGGCGGAGGTCGCCGCGGATGCGGCGATGTGCGGCGTCGGAAACGGCGGCGGCCGGGAGAAGGCGGTGAAGAGGTCGAGATTGGTGTGGACGCCGCAATTGCATAAGAGATTTGTTGATGTGGTTGGACATTTAGGGATTAAAAATGCGGTACCAAAGACGATCATGCAGTTGATGAATGTAGAAGGTCTGACTAGGGAGAATGTTGCGAGTCATTTACAGAAATATCGGCTTTATCTGAAGAGGATGCGAGGTGATTCGTTCGACGGCGGGTCGAATTCGTCGTCGGAGAACGGAAATGGGAATTCGGATTCGGTACCGGTGATGCCGATGATGGGAATGGGGATGACAGGGATGGGGAATTACAATGGGTTTGAGAAGAATCAGAATAATTATAATTATAGTCAGAATCATAATCATAATCATAATAATAATAGTAATAATCAGAATAATTATAATCAGTTTAGTAATGGTGGGAATGGGATGATGATGCAATCAGGGAATAAGTATGGTTCTATGGTTTCTTATCATCAATCTCCTACTGTTGGTCCTGGTAATAACTGAAGATGGAGCTGATCTTGGATCTTCTCTGTTATATTTTTATCACAAAGGTATAATCTTTTCTGATTTCATTAATTTTGAGCTTTTGATGATTTTGATCTTGTGTGATTGTTTTTGATTTGTTAGATTATTGACTGAAATTTTATTGTTTGATCTGTTCTGGTTCTTGGGTAGTTGGTTTTGTGCTAGATTGTTGTGTAGACTGTAGAATTGAAACTGGCTTTGAAATTTTAAGCTTGATTATCTTAGTAGAGTGTGTTGAATTTAGAAAGTAGAAGGGTCTAGCTTTAAAAGTTCTGATTTTGCTGCTCCCATGTATTTGCTGGATTGATTGTCAGTTTTTCACGGCTGTTAAACTGTTGTATGTTTGTTATCTTGATCTTTCAGATGTATTGTCAGTAAGATAGTGCAAGTCAGTCTGAAATAGTGATGAAATCTCACACTTGTACAAAATTTTGGAAATAGGTGGGTATCTATCTATCTGTCTTGGTTAGGTATTCCTTTATGTAGTAAGTTTATACTTGTTGCACATGGAGGCTTTTATACTGATCAAGAAATTGATGTGGTTGAATCGAGAGTGGGGATTAACTTAGTATCTTTGGTCTTGAGTGTTTTGTTTCGAATTGTCTTGTGTTTTAGAAATCATTATGGGTTGTATGTTAATGCGAGAGTTGATCTGAAAGTATATATCATGCAGCATGATTGTCCATCTTATTTTTGCTATTGGATAGGTTATTTTCCTTGTGCTAACGAGAGGGACACAGCCCCAAAACAATAAACAGTTTTTGATTAGATTATGCTTTGTATCTTATAGATTGAGTGACTGAACATTCCAACATTGGGAAGGTACTTCAGAAAACAGAAGTGCTTCACATAACTGACATGAAAGAAATTCAAGGGGATCAAATGCCTCCAATGTATGGACGACTCGTGTTCAAGTCTGAAGAAGTTAATACTCCTGTCTGGTGTATATCTTTCCGGTGTCAGTCTTGTCACCATGTCTAGAGGAAAGATTCTGTCATGGTTCATGTAGGTTATATATATATATATATATATATCACAGTCTCAAGGATATGATCTAACATGTTTTTGGGATTGATGTACAATTGATTTTAGCATAACATTGTATCTTACTTTTCAGTTGTGAAGCTGAAGCAACACATGAAAGATGAACTACATATTAACTAATAACAAATCTAACTGCTTTGTTGTCTTTGATAACCAAGCAACACCGTCTCAAGAATATGTTTTTAATGTATTTTTGAGATCACATTTGGTTAAGCATATAACTTTGTATCTTCTTTTTCAGTTGTCAAGCTGAAGCAACACAAGAAAGATGAACAACAGATTAGCTAAAAACTTTGCAGCTTTTTGCCTGTTCAGCATACAAGTGCATTGAGTATTTCTCTCTCATTTTCATTTGCTCCCTAATCCTTTACCGACATTTTTTTTCCCTCCCTCTTTGCTTTTACCCCTTTCTGAGAAGTAAGGTAGGGGTGCCAAGGGGGGTGGTGGGGGGGGGGGGGGGAGATGAGCATCATCTTATATACATATATGTCTTTGTGTTCTGTACAGAAGTTGAAGGCCAATCTCAGGGTTAAGATTAGGTTGCCTTAAGATTATGGGAGTTTTTTGGGTCAAGGGGTGGCTTGCCTAATTTATAACTATGATATGCTTATAGGGGGAATGTTTGGGTTATTTGGGGTTGTTAGATGCAATATTTTCATATCACATTTACTAATCTGGCAGTTTCTCTTCTTTCTTAGGATAGATAGCTGAGAGTCAATGCATCCAGTTTATGTTCTCCGAAGATGTTGATTGGATTCAAATGGGTATGTTAGAGGGTGGGTGGTGGCAGGAGGGGTGATGCTTTACCAATTCAGGGTAGTATGAAATAGGAAAAGGAGGTACGATCATGAGTTAGAGGGTCGTTTGCAACAAAATATCACCAGAGGTATCAATCGGGCGAATATGATGCATTTTGCTTTAGAAGTTTAGATTGAGTAGAACCTGGGAAGTAAGAAGTGTGATATATGTTTCTTGGACTAAAATCACTGAAAATCTAAAGGTGGAGGCCGAAGGTGACACTTATCTTTTATGGTTTGAACATGGGATTCTTATAAGCTTTAACTCTAAATCAGAAATTTAGGATTTTCCAAGGTCTTGCTTTTTACAAAAATGCATGTGGTCTTTGTAGATAACCCTCAAGTGGTTGGTGGTCCATTTTTCCGAGCTTCAAGTGTTTGATTGATTAAATCTTTATGAGCTGTATTGGTGGCTAAAACTCTCCTACCCCTTGCAAAAATTTGTACGTATAAATAAAACACAACTTGTGTAAATTAACCGAGGGCGTTTTCAGGTAAAACAAGTTTGTAAAAACTAAATTTCGATAATTCAAATTTAGGTTTAATAAGCGATACTTCATATTTAAGTTCAATTTATTCCGGTGAAAAGGGTATACAGTTTAATGTGTTGTTAATTTCTCTTTCTATTTGTTTTATGATAATATAACGACAATAATATCTTACCTTAGCTGTCATTGCAATATTTTTATACAACAATAAAGTTATATACATTTAAATATTTAATTGATGCAAAGCTTTGTACTCTGGTCCCTTTGCACATATAGTGCTTTTGTGCAATAGTTGATAGTTGATTGTGTGGCTACGCTAAGATGGTTAGTCTATATAGGATGAATATCGAATATCAGCTTTGTTTTAAATGTGTTTATGTATCAATATTAGAAAATATTGTGAGGATGCTGTTTTCAGGATTAAAAATTATGATGTATTAGAGGTTTACCAACTCTTGTAAAAAATGCAAGAGTGAAAAGTCAAAAAGGTCATAAAGTACTTTCAAATTTTCTTGAGCAATCACTGTGAAAGATTTTAACTATCAAGATCAATGTATTTTTGTTGGTTATTATAATATTCGAGTTATTAATAGAAGTCTTTAGTGTTACCAACTTACCAATTTTTGTGTTAAAAGTTTAAGATCATGTAAGTTTATATAAATCAGTAACGAATTACAGATTTACAACGAGGGTTAAAGGGTTGTTAAGTGTCATGTGTCAAAGTCAATGAGGTTATTTTCTTACGACATGCCATTTGCAAAAAAAAAATAAGTTTAGGGGTCATTAATAACTCATGAAAACATGACCTTGTCAAGAACCTAAAACACCATCCTCATTTGCCAACAGCCCAACAGATCGATCTGGAAGGGACCACCATATCTTCTTCTTGCAACTTGCTGTAATTAAAAATCTTATCCATAATAATTAGACATGATTCCTTGAATAATAATACTATAGTACTTGGTATAAAATAATTTGATTAAGCAAGAACGACCAAACTTCCCAATAACAAATTTAATGGCAAATTGCGGTTTTGAGATGATGTAAGAGTTCTAACTCCAAAGTAGAAAGGATTAATTAATAAAGATGAAACAAACCCAAAAATGACACAATTCCAAAACAAAAAAAAAAGTGCTGCTTTTTTGTTAGCAAATTTGCACAAAAATAAAGTACTTGCTCATCAGAGTCATCACCCTACTAACTTAAATTATTTTTTAAGTGGATAAAGTGACCTTTTGGGTTGTCAAAGGTGACATTCTAGATAATGATGATGTGAGATTACACTTAGGTTTAATGTATACATAATCTAAACAACAGAAATTGTTTCCATTTAGGTACAATATATGGATGTCTTTGTTCACCCCTTCTTAGGGAAGCTGTTGTGTATCAGGCAGCCTCTATCCAGCTGCACCCGGGAAAACTATTCGATCTCTTCTTCTTCATCAGCTTCTTTAGTCTTGCGGCATTTCCCCAACTTCCTGCTCCGGCGTATAAATTTGACAATAAACTTGTCCCAGAACCCTTAGGTTCGAGTTCTGACAGGTGTTTTGCTGCTACTTCTGCTAGCTCTATGTTATCATGCTGTCTACAGGCTCCTAATAATGCTCCCCATACGAACAAATCAGGTTGAATAGGCATTGCGTTGATTAAATCATAAGCCTCGGTTAATTTTCCTGCTCTACCAAGAAGATCTACCATACATGCATAATGCTCAAGTCTCGGCTTAATGTTATAATCCTCTTGCATTGATTCATATAAGGTTCTTCCGAGCTCTATCATCCCACCGTGACTACAGGCTGTTAGCACTGCAGTGAATGTCAAGTGACTGAGCTTCCCTGCATCCTCAATTTGCATCCTCTTGAAAAGTTCTATTGCTTCATTACAATAACCGTGGTTAGCATATCCAAAGATCATCGAGTTCCATGTAGGGGTATTCCTTCTAGTCATGTTACGAAACAAAGTTGATGCCTGAGATATACATCCACATTTAGCATACATGTCTATAAGCGCGCTTTGCACATATATATCCTGCTCTAGTCCAACCCCCAAAGCAAAACCATGAATCTCCTTCCCCCATGACACATTTGCTACATTAGCACAAGAAGATAACAGAGTGCTGACAGTATTTGTATTCGGAAAACATCCAGAATCCATCATTTTTCGGAATGTGACAAAGGCTTCATTATTTTTAAAATTCTTCACTAATCCTGATATGATAGAAGTCCATGACACTTCATCTGGCTCAATCTTGTTATCGCGCATCACTTGGAAAAGCTCATCTACCATTAAACTATCCCCTGCTTGCGAAAATCCTGCAATCAAAGTATTCCATGTGACCACATTAGGCCTCAATTTCATCACTTGCACATTCTCTACAAAACTCAATGCCTCTTTCACTAACCCTGCATGAACATACCCTGCAACCATAGCATTCAGAGCAACCATATCCTTCTCAATCATGTTGTCGAAAACCTTCCTCGCTTTATCAACAAACCCACATTTCAAGTACGTATCTATAAGAGCACTACCAACAAAAACATCACTATCAAACGAACTCCTCAAACTGAACCCGTGTATCTCCTCTCCGGTCCGCCTTTCTAACAGATGTCCACAAGCTTTAAGAGCACTAGGAAGCACAAAATTGTTAGGCTTTACACCTTCTGCAACCATCTCACGTAAAAAAACCAATGCTTGCCTGTAAAACCCACATTTAGCATACGCCCCAATAAGGGCTATCCATCGTCGATAATTACTCTTAGGCATTTCATCGAACACTTGGTGTGCAATACCCAATTCCCGACATTCGACATACAGTGCAATGAGCTTGGAAGCAATATGACTTAAATTAGCTGAGCCATTGATGATCAAATGAGCATGTAACGCTTTACCCGACATTAAAGATCGATTTAGAGTGTAATTTTCGATGCATTTGATGTAAGAATCTGAGGATGTTTGAAATGAACGGTTTATGAAGTGGGTTCGGTTGTATGATGTCAGAAATATGGTTAATCTGAAAATTGGAAACATTTGACTGAATTAACTGATTTTCACAAACTAAGAGTAATAATCAGATTACATTGTACTATTGTTGGTACGGAGTAGTACTACTCTGTTTTATCCGTACAAACTGACTTCATGTCTCGATCTAGCAGAACTGCACAAGTGCCAATCTAGCTCTGAATGACATGTTCACCATAACTACAACTGTACAAGCTCACTTCTAAACTGCAGAAATACCAAATCTACTACGAAAAGCTTTTTTTTTTTAACTAAACAATAACGGAGTAATATTATAGTTTTTCAAAATTAAAAATAATTGGGTTTAAGATTAAAATTAACATAAAGTTGAGTGTCAATACATATGTTAAGTTTTTTGAAAGAAAGAAAATACAAGTTCATCTTGATAATAAACAAAATTTGTTTATCTAATGACATTTTCGTAAATAAATCAATAAAAAAATCCCAGTTAGCATGACATTTTCGTAAATAAGTCAACATTTATGGAACCCGCATATTAATAAAAGTTGTTCACTTATTTACAAAAATGACATGCTGACTGGGATGAATTGTTTATATATTTACGAAATTGCCATTAGATAAACAAATTCATGAAGATGAATGGGGGCTCCCTCATAAAGAATATGTCAAGTTAGTAAACTAATTGTGAATCTATCTTTAAATGAGGAGAAATGACGGGAAAAAACCAATGATATCACACATAATAAAATGTAAGACATTTACTATGGAATTTGGAAAAAATTTCAATAGTAGATACTTAAATTTATGAGATTTAGAAACATTTTCTATTATGTAAAAAAAAGAAAAAATTTCTATTAACATACAATTATACTCTTTTTTTTTAGGAAACATACAACTATACTCCGTACAAGACAACCCTCAACAGTATTGCTAAAATGCTAATATGCCATAATATAGTTTTGCTGTTTTGGGACAATAATTGTTGGTTCAACAAATTGTGTGCAACAACACCTTAGCGTCTTTCATCAAGACCTCCCTGAAGCAACATCAAATATGTCGCTTACCACTCGAGTCAACTTCTTATTTGAAATTAAGTTATTTTTATATAACAATAAAACAATTTATAGCCTACACAACAATGACAACTAAATATGTGGCCAAATTTAACTCCTATGGCCTATGGGTAGGGCTGGCAAACAGGTCGGGTCGGGTCGGGTTCAGGTCGACCTGTTTACATAAACAGGTCAGGACCCCCCAACCTGAACCCGACCTGTTTACTTAAACAGGTTAAATAAATCAACCTGAATCCGACCTGGTTTTAAACGGGTCGACCTGAACCCGACCCGTCTAAACCTGTTTTTTTTTTTTATTTATTTTAAAAATACCCTTGTAATTTGTTTAACATGTATTTATACATGTATCATTCAACTAACATAAAATACAAATTCAAAGCAAACATAAATCCATTATAATTCCATTACACTTCATACAATCCTACAACAATAAAATTAAATATGATAAACTGGCTGGGTGTTATCAAATAAATAATAAATAATTAGGCAATAAAATCAAAACAGGTGCTGCTGCGTTCGACATAATTCAGTATCTTCATCATCTTATTCGGATTCGCATGTTCAATGGGTTCAGAAGGAATGAGGTTGTCAACAATCGGTTGATTAAAAATAAATTAAATAAATAATTAAGCCAAATGCAGAGAGAAATCACAAAAAATGCAAAAAATTAGTTAACAACATTCACACCATTCCAAGCTTCCAACTCATGATGAAAAAATCAACTCATGAACAAGCTGAAATATTCTCATAAACTCATAAAAAATCAAAGTAAATCGCATAAATAGATGATAAAAAATCAAATAAAATCGCATAATCAAAGTGATGAAAAAATAGCATAAACAAATAAACCCATAAACAAACAAACTTCAATCAGATTAAAACAAGTAAATTATTGAAATAGAAGAAACAAAACGCATAATAACATGTAAATTACTGAAATTGACGAAAAAAAACGTATCAAAACACAAAAAAATTAAGTAAAGAGAATGAAATTAACAAGTAAATGACCTTGGGAATGTTGAGATGAATATTTAGCAAGCTAAGCTTCAATCAACAATTTTAATGGAAAAGAATTAAAAACAAGAGGGTAAAGAGAGAGAACTAGAGAAGAGAGAGGAGAGAGAAAGAGAATGAGTAAATATTGAATGAAAAGCGGCGTGAGGTATGATTTTTTTTTTTAGGGTTTTTCATTAGATAGTTTGGGCTTAATTGGCCCATATTTAAAAATTAGGTTGTAAAAACAGAGTGGTAAACAGGTTTAGGCGGGTTGGGTTCGAGTTGACCCGACCTGAAACCGACCCAATTAAATAAATGGGTTTAGGCGGGTTGGCTTCGGGTTGGGATTTCCAACCTGAACCCGACCTGTTTAACTTCAGGTTGGGTTCGGGTTGACCCAATTACATAAACGGGTTGAAATTCTCTGTCAAAACCCATTTATTTCGGGTGGGTTCGGGTCGGGTTGTCGGGTCGGGTCAGCTTTTTCCAGCCCTACCTATGGGCTTCCCTAGACCACTCCTCCTCCCCCTTCCATAACCATCCAAACCTTTCTTGCAAAAAATTGAACCAACAAACTTGCCATTTAGCCAAAAATTCCTGTAAATGATAATTTTAGTACCAAAAACAACATTGAATTAAATATGCGTAATGGATTCACACTTCCTTCAACTCAATTAAAATCAACCCCTCAAATCCTAATTCTCTCTCATCACAATCAAAATCATTCCCCAAGAACATATCTTTATCCCTTTACTCTTCACCTTCAAACTAATTTTCTCTCTCCTACTTCTATTCCTGTACTTAGATGCTGCTATGGCAGCCATGTAATTGATCTTTTGGTGCTGGGTTCACATTCTTCAATACCCAGTTCCAGAAATTTGAGGAAGAATCAGAGATATAAAGTAAAAGCTAGTGCTAGAGAAACCCCATATCAAGTTTTGGGGGTTTCTACTTCTGCTACTCCTAATGAAATTAAAAGGGCTTATCGAAAACTTGCTCTTAAATATCACCCAGATGTTAATAAAGAGGTATTTTTTCTTATCCTTAATTTCAATTTATATTTGGGGTTTGTTTGAATTCTGCTTTCTCTGTGCTTGAATTGGATGCTTGTAATTGATTGGTGAATTGGGATGTTTTGATTGTGAAAAGAGGAATTTTTGTTAGTTGAAATTTGTATATGTAGATTATGGTGGTGATGATGTTTGCTGTTATTTTGGTGCATGTTTGGGATTGTGAGCCTAATGGGAATTCTTGTGGATGAGATTTGATCACAGGTCTTGGGTATCGCCTGTTGCGACTTTTGAATTGATTAGTTAGGTTTTAGCTGATGGTTGAACACCATTGTTTTATTTGAGAATACTGCATTTTCCTGCTTCATTTTACTGGAATGTTCTAGAGTTGGAATAAAGCATATAAGCATCAGTAAGTAGTTACTACGTATGTTAGTAAGCGTCTGTTTTGTGTATCAGAATTCAGAAAATTTATGGCCATGTGCAAGCTGTTATATTGTGGTGGCTGGTGGCCTATGCTTATGGTTTTGGTGTGGAATGGTGGATTGGCAATGTAGCGTTCATTATTCACCTATCACGTTTGTAACATCTGAAATATCAATTGACTTGTTGCTAAGGATTTTAGAGAAATGAGATTCGTAGTTACAGTTGCTTCATCCTTAATCATTGCTAATAGGCTATGTTCCTTAGAGTCATTATTGCAGCTAAGGTGTTAGACCCGAATGTAACCCGTAAATTATAGACTTGAATCGAACTCGACTTGAACCAAAATTGATCCAAACTCGTTTTAACCCGTCAAAACCTGAATTTAACCCAACTTGTTACGAACCTGAATTCAACCCGACCCGTTCCAAACTCGACCCGAATTTAACTCAACCTGTTACAAACCCGACTCGAAATCAACCCAACTTGTTATTGAATTGACCCAAATTCAACCCGACTTGATATTGACTCGACCCGAATTTTACCATACCTATTACTAACCCGACCCAAAAATTTAACCCGATCTATTACTAACCCGACTCGAAACCAACACGACTTGTTATTGACCCGACCTAAATTCAACCCAAATTGTTCTCGACCCGATTTCAAATCACCTTAAATGCAATTTAGACCACCTTATTATTGTTGATCAAAGCATTTTGTCTTGGGAGACCAAGTCGGTCCAGGCCAGCAAAAGAAAAGAGCATCATCCTCAAATTTAAGAGTTAAATATAGTATATATTTGTTGTATGGTCAAATGAGATAATTATCTTACTAAATTATAAACTATAGTTCCCTAGTATATTGCCATATATATGATAAAAATGATAATTATCTATTTATAGTTAGTTGAACTCGAATATAACCTAACTTGGAAATGACCTGACCTTATTGACTTGAACATAACTCGACTTGACTCCGAGAATGACCCGAGTTGGAAATGACCCAACCTTATTATAACCCGCAAATTATTGACTTGAACCGAACCCGACTTGAACCCGAGAATGACCCGACCTGATTATAACCCGCAAATAACTGACTTGAACCGAACTCGACTCAAACCCGAGAATGACCCTATTCTAACCCGCAAATTATTGACTAGAACTGAAACCGACTCGAACCCGAGAATTACCCTAACCCGTTTTAACCCGTGAAAACCCGAATTAAACTCGACCTATTGTTCACCCGACCCAAACCAAATAAGAAGTATGACCTGATGTGACCCGACACAAGCATGACCCAACCCAAACCTGACACCCATAGGTTATGGAATTAATCCGAATTGACCCGACATGAGTTGACCCGACCCACTTTTATCGACCAAAACCCGACCCGTTTACCCAAATTGACAGCATTACCCGAAACCACCAAAATTTCTCAAAAAACGTGGATATTAGCCTTCAATTTTGGAATTTTTGACTTTTTTAACCCGGAAATAAAAATTGCCGAAATGTTTACCATTGTTCCTAATACCCTCCGGGAGTTCAATTGGTTGGGTAGAACCATCCAATTTGTCTTTAAACGACCAATTTACCGGTTTACAAGTTGCACCGATTTCATTAACTCAAGCTTACCACGAACATTTATGACAACATATAATGATCATATATGGATCCAACCGCATTATGTGACCCCGACATGTATCCTCTAACATCTCAATGCTTTTCGATATCGGGCCCCGAAACATTAGAAATTTCTCAAAAAGCGTGGATAAGCCTTTAATTTTGGAATTTTTTGACTTTTTTTCGCCAAATAAAAATTCCCGAAATGTTTATCATGGTCCCAAATATCAGCCGCGAGTCCAATTGGGTTGGTGGAACCATCCAATTTGCCTTTAAACGACTAATTTAACAGTTTACAACTTACACCGATATCATTAATTCAAGCCTACCACGAACATTAATGACAACAAATTATGATCATATATGGTTTCAAACGACATTATATGACCCCGAGATGTATTCCCTAGAATTTAAAGACTTTTAGACATCGGGCCCCGAATACTCCAAATTTCTCAAAACGCGTGGATATTCGCCTTTAATTTTTGAATTTTTTTTGCCCAAAAATAAAAATTGTCGTAATATTTACCATGGTCAATAATACCCTCCCGGAGTCCAATTGGGAGGTGGAACCATCCAGTTTGCCTTTAAACGACCAATTTACCGATTTACAACTTGCACTGATTTCATTAATTCAAGCCTACCACGAACATTTATGACAACATATAATGATCATATATGGTTCCAAACGACATTATATGACCCCAAGATGTATCCTCTAAAATCTTAAGGCTTTTCGACAACGGGCCCCGAATCCTCCAAAAATTTCTAAAAAAATGTGGATATTAGCTTTCAATTTTGGAATTTTTTTAGTTTTTTTCGCCCGGAAATATAAATTGACGAAATATTTACCATAATCCCTAATACCCTTCGGGAGTCCCCTTGTGTGGGTGTAACCATCCAATTTGCCTTTAAACGACAAATTTACTGATTTACAACTTGCACTGATTTCATTAACTCAAGCCTACCACGAACATTTATGGCAACATATAATGATCATATATGGTTCCAAACGACATTATATGACCCCAAGATGTATCCCCATAAATCTCTCCAAAATTTCTCAAAAAGCGTGGATATTAGCCTAAAATTTTGGAATTTTTTGGCTTTTTTTCCTGTCAATAAAAATTGCCGAAATGTTTACCATTGTCCCTAATACAATCCAAGAGTCCAATTAGGAGGGTGGAACTATCCAATTTGCCTTTAAATGGCAAATTTATCAGTTTACGACTTACACCGATTTCATTAACTCGAGCCTACCACGAACATTTATGGCAACTTATAATGATCATTTATGGTTTAAAACAGTATAATAAGACCCCGAGACGTATCCCCTAAAATCTTAAAACCTTTTCGACCCAAACCTAAAAATTTCTCAAAATGCGTGGATATTAGCCTTCAATTTTGGAATTTTTTACCTTTTTTTTCGCCCGAAAATAAAATTGCCGAAATGTTTACCATGGTCCTTAATTCTCTGGTAGTCTAATAGGGTGGGTGGAACCACCGATTTGCCTCTAAAAGGCTAATTTACCGGTTACAAATTGCTCGGATTTCATTAATACAAGCCTACCACGAACATTTATGACAATAAATAGTGATCATAAATGGTTCCAAACGACTTTATATGACCCCGAGATATATTCCCTAAAATCTCATGTCTTTTCGACACCGGGTCCCGAAACCTCCAAAATTTCTCAAAAAACGTGGATATTAGCCTTCAATTTTGGAATATTTTTTTTTTGCTTGTAAATAAAAATTGCTGAAATGTTTACCATGGTCCCTAATATCTTCCGGGAGTCCAATTTGATCAGTGTTTTCCTTTAAACGACCAATGTACCAGTTACAACTTGCACCGATTTCATTAAATCAAGTCTACCACAAACATTTATGACAACATATAATGATCATATATGGTTCCAAAAGGCATTATATGACCTCGAGATGTATTCCCTAAAATGTCAAGCATTTTCGACACCAGGCCTCGAAATCTTCAAAATTTCTCAAAAAGCGTGGGTATTAGCTTTAAAATTTGGATTTTTTTGACTTTTTTTTCGCCTGTAAATAAAAATTGCCGAAATGTTTACTATGATCCCTAATACCTTGCACCGATTTCATTAACTCAAACCTATCACGAACTTTTATGACAACATATAATGATCATTTATAGTTAAAACAATATTATATGTCCCCGAGATGTATCCCCTAATATCTCAAAGTTTTTCGACACCGGACCCGAAACCTTAAAAATTTCTCAAAAACCGTGGATATTAGCCTTCAATTTTGGAATTTTTGACTTTTTTACGCCCAAAAATAAAAATTGCCGAAATGTTTACCATGGTTTCTAATACCCTCCGGTATAGTCCAATTAGGTGGGTGGAACCATCCAATTGGAATTAAATGGCCAATTTATCGGTTTACAACTTGTACTTATTTCATTAACATATAACGATCATTTATGTTTTTACACATCATTATATGACCCTGAGATGTGTCCTCTAATTCTTAAGATACTTCGACAACAGGTTCTGAAACCTCCAAAATTACTAAAAAAACATATATATTAGCCTTCAATTTTGGAATTTTTTAGCTTATTTTCGCCCGGTAATAAAAAATTTCCGAAATGTTTACCATGGTCTCTGGGCGTCCAATTGGGTGGGTGGAACTATCCAATTTTTCTTTAAACAGCCAATTTACTAGTTTACAACTTGCACTGATTTCATTAACTCAAGCCTACTGCGAACATTTATGACAACATATAATGATCATATATGGTTCCAAAAGGCATTATTTGACCCCAGATGTATTCCCTTGAATTTCAATACTTTTAGACACCGAGCCCCAAAACTCCAAAATTTCGCAAAATGCGTGGATATTAGACTTCAATTTTGAATTTTTTTTTTACTTTTATTAACTCGGAAATAAAAATTGTTGTAATGTTTACAATGGTTCTAATATCCTTAGGGAGTACACCTGGGT